ATTCAACACGCAAAGTAAGAAACCGGCCTGTTGGAAATATCTAAGAGGAGAAGGAGATGGAAACTTGAACGAGATGAACTGAAGAATGGAGGTTGAACACGTATATTTTGTACACTTATTTAGGCCATTAAATTAGAGTATTTATTAGTGGTTTGGATGAGTTATTGCTTAATTTTGTGCTAATTATGTTTGTTAGGTTAAATTCAATGTAAATTGGTGAATTTGGAAGAAATGAACGAAAAACCGTGCGAAAACAAAAGAAAACCAAAGTGAAGAAACTGATAAGAGAAAACAGATTTCTCTCTTTATTAATTAATTACAAGAAACCTACTACACATATTTATATTACATACGATGACTATAAAAGGTAAACTAAATCTGCTAACTAAGGAAATAATTACAGACTGCCAATTAATATAAAACAACATCTTTAAGAGAAAACTTCCATAAACGGTTTCCTACACTCCCCCTCAAGTTGAACTATAGATGTTAATCATATTCAACTTGCAGTTGAGATCATTGAAGGTTTGTCGAGGTAGTCCTTTTGTGAAAATATCTGCAGTTTGTTCCTTTGTAGGGATATATGTCATACAAATAATTCCATCGTCCACTTTTTCTTTAATAAAGTGTATGTCCACTTCTACATGTTTGGTCCTGTCATGTTGTACTGGATTGAGAGAAATGTTGATGGCTGCTTTGTTATCACAATAAAGTTTGATTGGATATTCTAAGTCCACTTTCAGTTCTTCTAAGAGTTTCTTTATCCATAATCCTTCACATATCCTTTGTGCAACTGTTCTAAATTCAGCATCAACACTGCTTCTTGCTACTACATTTTGTTTCTTACTTCTCCAAGTTACCAAGTTTCCCCATACAAAAGTACAGTAGCCAGTGGTGGATTTTCTATCTTCAATAGATCCAGCCCAGTCTGCATCAGTGAATACTTCTACTTTCTTTCCTTTATTCTTTTCGAAGAATAACCCTTTCCCTGACGTGCCTTTTAGATATCTAAGGATTTTATATACGGCTTCTAGGTGTGCCTCTTTGGGTGAATGCTTAAGTTGACTTACCATGCTTACTGTGAAGGCAATGTCAGGTCTAGTGTGCAAGAGATAGATTAGTTTACCAACTAATCTTTGATATCTGTCCATTTCCACTGACTCTCCTGTATCCTTTATTTTTGTTGTCTCAAGAGGTATATCACTTGGTTTACATCCCAACATTCCAGTTTCAGTCAGAAGATCAATGATGTATTTTCGTTGTAAGACACTAATGCCTTTATTTGATCTTGCAATCTCCATTCCCAAAAAATACCGCATTGGTCCCAAGTCTTTTATTTCAAATTCGACGGCTAAGCACCTTTTTAACCTTTCCATTTCTGCCAGGTTGTCCCCTGTTAGGATTATATCATCAACATAGACAATCAAAATGGTCTTTGCACCATTACTAGAGTAATGGAAGAACATTGTGTAATCAGACTGCCCTTGCTTGTATCCTTGAGTTTTCAATACCTTTGCAAATCTATCAAATCATGCTCTGGGTGACTGCTTGAGACCATATAGAGACTTCTTGAGTTTGTACACTTGATTTTTGTCATTACCTCTGTCAAAGCCAGATGGTATTGTCATGTAAACTTCTTCTTCCAGTTCCCCATTCAAGAACGCATTCTTAATGTCTAGTTGTTGGAGTGGCCAGTCAAGATTCACTGCTAAGGATAGGAGAACTCGAACAGTATTTAGTTTTGCTACCGGTGTAAAGGTCTCTGTGTAGTCGATGCCATAAGTCTGAGTATACCCTTTAGCGACTAGACGAGCTTTGTAGCGTTCTATTTCTCCATCGGCCTTATACTTCACATTGAAGACCCATTTGCATCCTACCGATTTCTTTCCCTTTGGTAGGCTTACTACTTCCCAAGTCCCATTTTTCTCTAAAGCCTTCATTTCCTCCATTACTGCTTCTTTCCATTTTGGTACTTCCAGAGCCTCCTGAATATTTCTTGAAATTTCTATTTTATCAAGGTTAGTTGTAAAAGCACGAAATTTTGTAGATAGAGCATTAGAAGACAAAATTTTTGAGATGGGATGAAGAGTACATGACCGAGTTTGTTTTCTGAGAGCAATTGGTAGATCATTTTCTGAAGATATGACTTTATTGGGATCTTCATCAGGTCCTTCCACCGGTTCCGACTTTTTTGGTGCCTCAGATATGAGAGTTTCCTTATACTTTGATTTAGGCTTCTTTGAGTAAACTAGAATCTCTTTGTCACTTTGTTTTCTGACATCTCCCCCTGGATTTAAGTTTTCTTCTGTATATGGCATAGTAGAAGTGACAGAATCTGGAGATGAGTCAGGTAGGGAAAGATTAACATCTAAGTATTCCCGTTTGTGTTGTTCTTTCAAGAACCGATCTTTACTGAGATTCTCCCCCTGAAGAGAAGGTTTTTGGAAGTAAGGTGTGGTTTCGAAGAAGGTGACATCAAGGCTGACAAATATCTTATTGGTGGATGGGTCATAACATTTATAGCCCTTTTGAGTGGGTGAGTACCCAATGAATACACACTTGATTGCACGTGGTTCAAGTTTGTTCCGATTATGGGTGAACGTGTACAAAGGCAGTACTACCGAAAACTTTTAGAGGTAGGTTTGAGTGAAGACGAGAGGTCGGAAAATGTTTGTGGAATCGTTTTATAGGGGAGTCAAAAGAGAGAGTACGACTAGGCATACGATTGATAAGATATGTAGATGTCAGAATCGCATCACCCCAAAATTTGTTTGGTATGTTCGCAGTGAACATTAAGGCACGAGCAACTTCGAGTAGGTGTTGATTCTTACATTCAGCAACCCCATTTTGTTGGGGAGTGTTGGCACAAGAACTTTGGTAGACAATTCCGTGTTTGGTTAGGTAGTCTTGAAGAGTATGATTGAAATATTCAGTGCCATTATCAGTTCGTAGAATTTTGAGTTGTGTTTGGAATTGAGTTTGAATCATAGAGTGAAAGTTTATAAAAACAGATCGAACATCGGTTTTTTCCTTTAGTAAATATACCCAACAAACTCGGGTGTGATCGTCGATAAATGTGACAAACCATTTTGTGTGAGTACGATTAGGGATGCGAGAAGGTCCCCATAAATCACTGTGAATCGTGGCAAATGGTGTAGATGGTTTGTACGTAGAATGAGGAAAAGACGTACGATGGTGTTTCGCAAATTCACAACTTTCACATTGAAACTCAAATGAAGTTTTATTGAAGAAATTTGGAGGAAGTACACGCTTCAGATATGGGAAACTAGGATGGCCCATTCTATTATGCCATAACAAAAGTTCACTATCCCTAGAAATCGATGCAGAATTACAGTTATTAAGTTGACCTAGTTTACTCACATCATCTTCCTCGAAGTAGTACAGTCCCCCACATTCTTTAGCACAGTCAATCGTCTTCCCCGAAGAAAGGTCCTGAAAGACACAATAAGATGGAAAGAAATTAGCAGAGCATTTTGAATTTTTGGTTAGCTGACTAATAGATAGCAAGTTACAGGACAAATTTGGGAC